TTAATGCCAGGGAGTTGGCTTGCTGCAAAGAGCAAGTTCACTGAATTTGCACCATGTATGAAAAACGACATTGTCACTGAGGCAGAACTCGGGCCTACACGGATCAAGCTGAACAGGTAGTTGAACTTAGTGGGAGTTATCAGTGACCACTGAGACATCACCCCACTCCAGTACTACCCAGTCCTTAGTCCCTCTGGGCAGTGGAACCTCCCTGGAGCCCTTGGTGGGTCCTCCTGGGCCCCTGTCCTGGTAAACAAGGGGCTCGTGGCCAACTAAGTGGCCCTGTCTGTATTAAAGGTGGAACCCAGGTCCGGGCAGGATGCCCACAGCCAGGCCTCCCCTTGACAACCCAGTTCATTGAGAGCCACTCACCTTTTTTCACAAAAAGCTGTAATTTACTGTCGGAAACCAGCCGACCAAGTCAGACCGGGTACCTGAATGGGGGAGCGGGGACTGAGAAAAAAGAGAAGACAGACAGGGTGCAGGAGGGAGAACAGATCTCACAACTGTCTCTCTGAGTTTATTTCTTATGCTTCTTTTTATACATAATCTGTTCCTTTGTGTATCCCAAGATAACATAATAAAAGTTACATCCTGAAGATCTGAAGATCAAGGTACAGTCGACACTTCCTTTGACACTCCCTTCATCTATACTTAATCTTCTTCCTGGAATTCCACAGAACCAGCCTTTCCCTTTTTATGCAAGCAGGCCTCCCGAGATAATCAATGCACTCTTTTGAATTTGGGGAGCTTTATCTCCCTACAATTTACCCCATTCCTTGTACCAAGTTCTAACGCATCTTGAGAGTTTGAAGCTGTTTGGTTTGGGGCGTTGGAGATTTGTTTTCGTGGGTTTCTGGGTGAACCTGCCCGCCTTGTTTATCGGGAGGGAAATGAAGTTGCTGGCTTAGAGTTTTTCCACCGATGTTTAAGCTCCGTCTCCTGCAGCTTCGTTCCGCTGCGGGTTAGGCCCATGCCAAAGTTGCCCTAAGGCAGGAGCTTTGCTGGCTGGGGGGAATGGGATGTAAACTTAATTTGGGGTAGTCTGAGGAGTGCTCGCTTTTGGCAGCAGCCCGAGTGAATTGTTTCCTTGTGTTTTCGGTAGCTTGAAGGGAAGTGATCAAGTGAATCGGGTTATATGGGCCACAGGTTGTGAAAAGTGAGGTTCTTTACCCACAAATATCGAGTTTAGGGTGTGTGTTTTCTGTCTACCTCTCCCAGAGCGTCGGCCCTACGTGTCTGGGCACAGATCACTGAGGAGCTACTGCTAGCGGACATCTCCAACATTTGTTTTTTCATATCTGAATCCTCGATTTCCTGCCTTCCTATCTCTGGGGAGTTCCAAGTGAAGCCGTGTTGACTTCCCTGGGACATGTTTGTGCGTTTCCCACGGGACAACGAGGGCTTTGTTTTGCTGATGGGTGATCATCAGGCTTCGTGGTGAGCTCGCTGGAGACAGAACCAAAGGCCGCCCTGAGTGCTGCCAGTCTGGACCCTGGTCAGTGTGGTTTACTCCAGCGGCTCAGGCATCCCAGCAGCTAAAATGCGGGTCTCGGGTCCCACCCCGGCCCACTCCACACCATTCAAGTCCCCTCAGGTGATTCTCACGAACACCAGGTTAAGAAGCTCATTTTTTTAAATGGCGGTTTTGGTCTCAGCAAGAAAAGCAGCCTGTCTGCGGACTCTCACCAGGAGAAAGCATTTGCAAACTGAACATTTATTCGTGTCAGTGACTTAAGTGTTCTTAACACGATTGCCCATAATGAGGTGCCCCCGAGACGATTTGGTTTCATTACAGATCAGTGGTCTCCATGATGACTGCCCATTACGACGGGCACGTCTACTGAACTCGTGGAGAAAAATCCACCAAGATTAAAGTCGGGACCAAGGCAGACAAGATCGGAGCTCGCATGCCAGATTGTCGCACCTGGAATGTGTGTTCAAACCAGTAGAATGTCACTGGATTTCAAATTCCGCCCGACCGTTGGGAGGCGTTGTCTTTGTGGACCTCTCTCCAGGCTGACGGCATGTTGCCTGTTGCGTGTTCTCGAGCCCCATGCTGCTGCCCACGGCTTCATCCGGACACCCAGTGCTGTCAAGCTCTGTTGTACTGTTTTATTTTCTTCCCCACTTAAGCAACTTTTTTGCCAGTATTTACAACTCATTTGTGTTGTACCAGGAAGGCCCACTGTCCTCCTGACGTTGGAAGGAATCACCAATTTCTTTCTTGTCCAATTTATACTGTTTCCCGGCACGAGCTGTGGCAGGGATTGCCACAGTTGTCCCTGAAATTGGTTTTCTTTCTTATTTAGTAATTAGACTTCACAAGCTTTCTTTGCAGCTAAACATGGCCATTATTTTTAGTCAATGGTACCATAGCAAAGGGGAAATTGTACCATGCTCAGGGTTTAAATAAACGGCGGGGTATTACTTTGCCCTTTTCTCCTTCCTTCAGAATAGAATGAAAACATCATAGCTGTAGCTGGACCCAACACCTGGGACCAGGGGGTAGACGGGGCGGATTAAGAATGACAACTAGGACGACGGGCCTAGTTGGGAGGTGAATACAATGGTAGTCTCCAAGTACAATGCGGGCAGGCCATCTTCAAGGTCATGAAACTAAGGCTCACAGTCCAATGGAAGTTCCCTGAGATCCATGATTTATTTAATTTTGTTGAATTAATTTTAAGCTTATAGCAAGAAAGGGGAAAGAGATTGGTTCAGTTCACACATTTCAGATGGATCGCAAATAGGAGGCGCTCCACTGAGCCCTCGGGCCCACGTTCCCGTTTCTCCTCCCTCACCCCCTCCCTCCCTGACCACCTTTCTCCCTTCTTCACTGTGAATTTCTTCTCTGCTGAGAGGGTGGTTTTGAGGACCAGAGCCGATGAGTGAAGGGGCCTGGCAGATGACCTTGGACCTGGGTCTCTCCAGGGGGGCAAACATGTCACCTCCAAATAACTTCAACCTACTGTCGACTATGGTCCGTAAAGAGAAATGTGAGCTCTGCGCGTTTTTGTGACTCTTCTCTTGCTGTCCCCTCTTCCCTGGCCATCGCTCCCTCTCCACCTTCCTCCTAGAACTGCCACTGGGAACGTGAGCATTTACGGCTAAGTCGATTCAGCTTCTGGCAATGCTAACGTGACCTTACTACCGCTGCTTCCCCTTCTGCTGGCTTGATCACCGTTTTCACATCCATTTTAGTTGACCCCTGTGAGGACAAATTGTGTCTATACCGCTCACTGGTCTTTTCTTAGTACTTGTCACTTTCTGAACTTAATCGACTCAATAAGTGAGTTCAGAGTCCTAGTCCTTCAACTCAACACTTCATCTAGGGAAGAATCTCAGGCACACTCAGATTTAGAATACTCACCAACCCTGCACTAACTACGTGATCCAATGGAAAACTCCACACAGGTGAATTTAAAGCTCAATGTTACAGGTACTTCTATGCTTTTTACTTAACGTATTCTGAAAGATCTGCAGCTGAAGTAGTATTGATTCGCAGCCTCTTCAAGGGAGGCTGCCAAAGCCTGACTTCTCTGCTGGCTGACGGTAAAACAAGTATGGTACCCCAAACAAAACCTGCCTTGTCTACAAGGTGTTTCAGGTTTTTCTACTTTCCCTTTGTAAATCCTATATCATAAACGGCTATTACTCACAGAACTAAAGTCTTGAGTCATTCTTCAACAAAGCTTTGTTCTAAAGCTCCGCTTCCAATCCCTTTCATTTATTAGGTAAATTTATCCTGCCCTCAGACATCCTATTGTATCTCCCCAACATGAGTGACTCAAAAACCAGTGCTTTGTTAAAAGAGATGCTTACTAGGCAGACATTTCCTCCCCACAATGTCTGCACAGCCTTTTGGCAACCTGCAGTAGCACTCAGTACTACAGCTCTTCACGAAAAAAAGTGGGTGGCTCTGAAAAGAGCCTTTGGGGTCAGCGGCAAAGCCGCTCAGCAGCGCGTCTACTTGGAGCTGGTATACTTGGTGACGGCCTTGGTGCCCTCGGACACGGCGTGCTTGGCCAGCTCCCCGGGCAGCAGCAGGCGCACGGCCGTCTGGATCTCCCGCGACGTGATGGTCGAGCGCTTGTTGTAATGCGCCAGGCGCGACGCCTCGCCCGCGATGCGCTCGAAGATGTCGTTGACGAACGAGTTCATGATGCCCATGGCCTTGGACGAGATGCCGGTGTCGGGGTGCACCTGCTTCAGCACCTTGTACACGTACACCGAGTAGCTCTCCTTGCGGCTGCGCTTGCGCTTCTTGCCGTCCTTCTTCTGCGCCTTGGTCACCGCCTTCTTGGAGCCCTTCTTCGGGGCCGGGGCCGACTTGGCTGGCTCAGGCATGTCTGAAAACACTGACAGGAGACTAACAGTGGCTGTTTCCTGCTGCGCTGGCCTATATTTGTAGGGCTTCTATGCAAATCAGGCGAAGTCAAACTCATTCCCCGATTGGATAAAATCAGGCAGTAGAAACGTTTTATGCTAACAAGGTGACTTCAATTCTATCTTTTGATTGGCTGTTGATCAGGAAGCAACCCTGAATTCTTTTCTCTTCCCTTAGAAGTTTCGTTTTGAAAGCAGTGCAAAAAATTAAATTAAAATCAATAGTGCGTGTATGTCAACCTCGTGTCTCACTAGATCAAGACCTAAAGGAATTACGCTTGATAAGAAAAACTTGTTATTATATAATTCCTCACCAAATTAGTTGCCGGATTGCTAATTCTAAGAAAATATAGATTATCTACTTTGTAAGTGTGTTTAAATTATGCCATTGACATTACCTCTTTGGTCTCATCAAGGCCGACAAAATAAGCTTTTTTAAAATTCAAAAACCCGTCACATTTCTGTTCTCTGGGAACGGAGTCTTCGTCAGGGACGCAGTGTTCGTTGTAGGGTTAGACATTGTGAAATAGAGCCCTTGCAGTGGCAAAATAAGGCTTTTCTTCAAAGTCAGAAGCTTTGATTAAAGGAGGAAAGTGGCCTGGATTCATTATATTCAAACACGGAGCTTTTGAAAAGGTCGAGGAACCTCCATTTTCGTCTCTTTCCAAACTTAATCCCAATCAAGGAGGTTAAGGAAATTAACAAGGAGATTAAACAAAACCAATCAAGGACTCCGTGAACCGTGTAAAACACAGGGTGGGTTCCCGGTGCGAAACACTGAGAAGATAACAGGACGTTGCCGGAGACCGCGGTTTCTAAACTGGTAGCAGGTGGCCAATCACAAGGCTTATTGATTCAGGGCGCGAAATTTGAAGATTCGGACCAATCAGGAGAAGGGGGCCGTTATAAAAAGGGCAAGAGCCGCTACAGTCTCAGTTGACCAAGGCGCTTGCAATCTGTTGTCATGGCTCGCACGAAGCAGACGGCGCGCAAGTCCACGGGCGGGAAGGCCCCGCCCCA